GAACCACCTACCCTAAGCCAGGTATTGTGCAATACTCTTTCTAAGGAACCCTTCACCCTAATATCCATCCTTCCTTCCTTCCTCCTTCCCCCTTCCCTTTCTCTTTCTTCCCCTCTCTTCCTTTTACTCTCTTTCTTTTTCTCTCTCTTTCCTCTCTCTCCCTTTTTCCTTCCTTCCTTCCTTCTGTCTTGGATCTTGCTGTGTTGCTCAGGCTACTCTCATGGGTCCAAGTGATCCTCCTTCCTCAGCTTTCTGAATAGCTGGGACTTCATGTGTGTACTCCATACTCAACCTATTCTTCCATGTTACAGTAGATTAAACAGTTCCAGAGATTAAGCAGATTTTCTGAGGCCAAAGAGCTCTTAAGTAGAAGTCAGAATTTGAATGCAAGTTCAAGTTCAAATTTTTTATTTTTCACCTCTGCTACAGTTTCTTTATCATGCTCCAGAATAGAAAGGACTTTCTCTTGTGGAAGATCTATCCCCAAATTGCCTTTATTGTGGGACCCTACCAAAATCTTGTGCAAAGATCTAAATAAATCATGAAGAAGTGTATTTACTTTTTTTTTGAAATCTTTGTTTTGTTCCTCAAAGAACTCTATGAAGCCCAAAAGAGGCTCACTGGAAGACTGTGGTCATCCAAACTCAATCTCCATTCCAATGAGGTATAATTGATTTGCACAAGACTCAGATGTCAAGCAACTATTTGCTTCCAGAGGTGAGGAAGGTTTTTCCAATATCTCTTTAAATTTGCTCTGGGAAATATGAATCCAACTGAATAAAGTAGCTAAGACTACCAATTTCATAGAATATCTGTCACCTATTTTAAACTTTCCCAAATTATTTTTGAAGCTATAGAAACATCATATGTTATTATGAAACATTTAAAAAGCAGAGGTACCCAGGTACAAGTAAACATCTTTGGTGATAGCCCCTTCACTCACTCCCACCTTGGGAGGGAGTCATTAAGTGATACTACAGTGAATACTGCAAGATCTTTCACACCCCACTTCCATTTGCAACTGCCCATCAGTGTGCACACCCACACTGTTCCCCACCTTGCCTTTTATGAAAAAATGTGAGCACACTCTATTTCATTCTGCAACTTGCAACTTATGTCACACATAGAATTTTATGTTGGGCAGTCATAATTCTGTCATCAATGGGAGTAACATTGCCTCCCTCCCTTACCTCTATAAGGATCATAAAGGATTTCCATGAGGATAAATCATACCTTGAAGGGGGTGCTCAAGGATGGTTGTACAGAAAGAAAATAAAACTCAAGGTTTTGAGATGACCACTGATACATTATTTTACAGGGACACAATATACAGATAGATTATAATATGGTGAGTTCCAAAGAGAGTAAGGCCAAGGAAATAACTTCTCCTTTTCCTATCCTGAATGGGACACTTCGTGATCTGCATATTATAAAAAACATGAAAGTGAGGTCAGGCTTGGCAGGGAAATTGCTGGCTACAAGCTTTTAGGACAATTAAGAAACAGCAGGATTATTCTGGCACGAGCTTCAACCAGTTGGCAGAAAAATGCCTCTTCTGCTCCTACGGTGACTGGCAATTCTAAGTAAATGGCTAAAATTGCCTTTCATGTCTGCCGACAACTTCTTTCCTCAAGTCTTTGAGTTTTGATGAATTCTCTTTGATAATGGGGTTATCTTCTCTATTAGGGTTATTCTGACATCTATAGGGATTATTTCAATTCTCACAGGACAAAAATTCACTTGTTTCCAGAATTACAAATCCTTGAAATCTTTCTCAAGTCTGGTTATGAAGTTTTTCCCTAAAAGTTTTCTTCTTTAATCTTCATTACCATACACAAAGACTGTTTTATATGATTAGTGACACACTAATAGGCATTTTTGAAATATTGAAAATAGCTTACAGGCCCCTATTATTATATTCAGTGAAGTCCAAGAATTTGGAACTCCAGTTAGGATATTATTAACTTAAAATGTCCCTACTCACTTAAATTATAAGCTGTCAATAAATATTACTTTTCTTCCAGCTTCAATTTATAACTTCCCCTAAAGCTACATTTGCTGACCATTCTCCTGCCACCACCAGTACCTGCCTGGGGCGGCACCAATAATGGCTTGTTGTCTTGCCTCTAGAAGCCCAAAGCTGGGAGGCAAAGGGTTCAGCATCCACAGATTCAACCAGCTTCAGATGGCAAATGTTTTTTAAGTATTGCATAGTACCAAACATCTATAGACTTTTTTCTCATCATTATTCCCTAAGCAATATCATATACAACTATTTCCATAGTGTCTGTATTTTATTAGGTATTATAAACAATGCAGTGGTGATTCAGAGTATATGGGAGGATGTGTGCAGGTTTTATACAAAATACACTATTTTTTATAAGGTCCTTGAACATCTGAGAATTTGAGAACTTACAGGGGCTTTTGAAACCAATTTCCCATGAACACTTAGGGCTATTGCATAGCACAGTGGTTGAGAGTAGTCTTGGCATTACAATGGCTCTGCACATTAAGTTGGATCCTCCATAAAATGGAGAAGATGTGGTACATGTCTCAGAGGGTTGTTTAAGACAATTGATTCCACATAATAAAGCACCTCAAACACTGCATGGACCATAAAGTATTTGTTATTCTTGAATCCTTTCTGCCTAAGTCCATTCTCCTTAACTTGATTATTGGAATGAGATTAGTAGCTGTCTATGCTATTGAGAGGGGAAAATCTCCTTATCTTTTTCTTTATGTCTTGATGGAAACAGAGAAGAAGATGGTACAAGTTCAGTCACCTCCCCATCTCCTATGTGGAGGGAGGGAGCTGGGCTGGCTGGCTTGGCACTCACTAGCTTGCACTGTGAGCAATTTTTTTTTAGTGTCTCTGAGCCTTAGTTTCTTTATCTGTAAACAGGGGGTGACAGTTGTCCCTGATCATAGGGCTGCTGAGAAGACCAAAGCAGTCTAAATAGAGGACTGACACATAGTACATGCTCAATGAAGTTGGCAACTAACCTACTTCAAATACAACAGGATCAAGTCTACTTCTGTTGTGCACCTGCCATGTATGCACTCTGTGTAGGAACTTCATTTAACAATGACTCACAAGGGACACTCATTGTCTTCACTTAAATCAATAACAGAGACTAAGGCTTTGAAAGGTTGAATGACATGTAGCAGTTTTCAGTTTAGAGGTGACAGAGCTGAAATGTGACTCCAGGTCTTCTGATCTGGATGCCTCCATGAGCCATGACTATCTGATTAACCTAAGAATTCTCATAGTCCATCAGGATGTAGGGTAGAGGGTCTCTTAGTCCCTGCCTTCTTACTGTCAAAAACTTTTTCAATTATTTTTATGACCCATACATATGTAAACGCACAACATACTTTTAACAGTTCATTAGTATAACATAGTTTATTTTCCCATAATCGTACCCTTGGATTCTTTCCCCTCAAAGTTTCATAGACTTTCTGGAATATCTAAATGACTATTTTTAACTGGGAGCATTGTTTTTTTTTTTCTTTTCCTTTCATTCTAAAACAGCAAGTTGACTCCTCTTCTTCCTGGAAGCCTTTCTAAGTCATTACAAATAACATTTTTCTTTATAGTTCTCAAGTGACCTTTAGTGCAAACATTTCTTTCTTCTTCCTGCGATGGGTGCTGACATCACTCTCTTAGGAACACAAAGGCCTCCACAAGATTGATTTGTCCTGCTGAGACTTTGGAAAGGGTGTCTTCTTCTCTGCCCACATCTTAATTCTCAATTGGAGGTAGAGAATATTTAACAATGCATTTCTTTTCCTAATTTTTTAAATTTGAGGTTGATTTTTAAAAGTCAGCTATTTTAACAACTGCTTTGGAAAACTTTATTATCCCCAGTCAGAAGTCTGGTTTTATATCTTTTAGCCAATTACTTCTTATCTTTGGTTACTTCTGCTCCTTTTTTTATTCAAATCAGTCGGCATCTGTTCCCAGGATTCGGTGCCAAGGTGCCACCCAGCTTAGAGAAACTAATCTTTGATCTTTTTCTTTTGCCTCTTCTTGGTACCAACACACTAGTTATCACTCCCAATTCCCCCCACATTCTCAATACTTCCCTTTGCAAATTCACTTGGGGATTTTTAAAAATAAAGGAAAACTTAAAAAGGAACCCGATGAAGCTTATTTGGATAAATGCTGAATTAAGGCAGCCCTAAGCCATGTGGTTTTGTCTGAGTTTGCTCAGTTCTGCCTAGAAGTTGTGTGACTTAATGGGAAAGGTGCTGCCAATTTAGGACACAGCAGAAGGATTTTCAGCAGTGACTCCTCCCACGTAGTGGATCCCTGATAAGGTTCCCAGGGTTTTATGACCCAGGTAGCTTTTTCATGCCATGGGCATAATGGTAGAAGACACCTCTGTAGGCCAAATGGAAGGCACAGAATTAATATCAGGAGAAAGGCACAGGATGGCTCCTTTCTTACCAGGAACAGTATTTGCAGTTACTTCCCTTTTAGTTCTTAGTGCCAACAGGTTCTCTTTTAAACAGAACTAACAATGGTTTTGCCGTTTCCCATGGACCCACACTGAATTTTTACCATTTGTTTATTTATTTATGAAAGTCTCCTATTGACTCCTGGTGATTCTTGCAAATAAATAAATCACCCTTGCAGACATTTGTTAAGTTACATGGAACAACAAAACAGTTTTTAAAGTGACGAAAAGGCTTTTCGGTCATGAAATCAATGAAGAGCAATTTAATGCCTACTTTGTGTCAGATACCACGTTTACCCCAAGGAAGGAAAACAGACATGGGCCCTGTCTTTCAGGACTTAGGGCTCAACAGATGTCTTCTGCTCCCACAGCAGTAGTCTGAAGGTGAATGGTTGGTTGCTTTTCTAAGTCAGATATAAAGCTGGCTGTATTTTTATGGCCTTTGAGCTTAGGATAGTTTTTATATTTTTAAATGCTTGAAAAAAAATTCAAGAGAATATTCATATTTTGAGAAACGTGGAAATGACATGAAATTCAGACTTCAGTTTCCATAATTAAAGTTTATTGGAACCTAGCGCGGCCCACTCATTTATGTATTGTACATGGCTGTTTTGTGCTGCCATGGCAGAGCTGAAGAGGTGCAGAGACTATACAGTTGGAAAAGCCTAAAATGTTTATTCTCTGGCCCTTTAAAAAAATAATATTTTCTGAGCTGTGTTCTAGAAGACTTTCAGGTACGATCACTTTCTGCCTTGCGATTCTAGCCGTCTCTTTAAATTTCTGAGAGACACACTCACCCCAAACAGCCCCTTCTCTCTGCATGGCATGGCAGACAGGGCAAGGCATTGGCACGTTTATAAGCATGTTTGAATTTTCCTAAGCCACAAACTAGTGTGTGCAAGAAATATATAACATTATTTTTTCCTAATGCTACATAATCCACTTGCTACCATGCAACCCTGATTCTTTCTAGAAATCCTCTGTGTTTTCTCAGTCTTTTCATCTTAAAATTCAGCTAATTCTGGTTTTGCTCTCTTGTCTCCCTTCTCCTCTAGGTGGCAGCTGTGTGGGATAGTCTATAGGGCATCTGGGCAAGGGCTGCCTCTCCTGAGCCTATCCTGCCTCTGGTTACCAGCACTCCAAGAGTGTCCCTGACCCCACCTGGTCTTGTTACTTTCAGTTGTAAGGTCCCTTTGTCACCTCTGCCAGATACCTGGGTCTAGTGCTTTGCTAACCTTGACTTCTTCCCAAGTGTGGAAACTTTGTGCTGCTCTTTTGTTTTCTCTGGGGCTGTTGGAGCTGAGTTGATAAGTCCAGCCTTATCTAACCCTGCCTGGCACCCCAGGACCTGGGATGGGAATCAGCTCTGCCTGATAAGGTCCTGGCCCTTAAGGCTGCCAGTCAGTGAGCTTCTTGAGTGGGAGACGGCCACCGAGCCTCTTGCTCCACTGCAATGGCTTCTCAGGAGTTGGAAGAACAGGATGTTTTCCCTTTCAAGGCTGTGGTCTGGGGAGGGAGAAGCAGGCTTCTGCTCCATAGGCCTTTCAGAAAGGAGCCAATTTGTCTTTCCCTGTTCTAAGCAGGCTTTAAGCAAGCTCAAGTCGAACCTATTGGCTCCACTGGATTCAGTAACCTCAGGCTCTGGTTAGGCCAGATGGAAAATCAGTCCTGGAAAAAAAAAAAAAAAAGTGAAAAACCAAGGCAGAAAAAGTCATTACCCCTCCCCACCCCCCATAAATCTAAACACACTAAGCCCATTGAAAGACTTGCCAGGAAAATGCGATTTTCAGTTTTCTCTGTGGGTTCAATTTATCTTACTGCTCAGTAGTCAAGTTGAATTAGATCCAGAACCAGATACAATTCAACCCTTCTTATTTGAAGGGAGCCGCCCCCACCTTCCTGTCGGTGGCCTCACTGTCGTATCCTAAGGACTGGTATTTCCCACATTAGGAATTGCAGCCCGTCTTCCTTTTAGATATCTGGATTGCGTGCCATTTAAGTTTCCCTCTCTCAGATAAATTGAGTAATTGCATCTTTTCTGCTATGCCTCACTACAGATGAGAAACTCTCAGGATTGCCTTTTACTTCACTGAGTTTTGCGTTTTGAAGATGGCAATTCTGCATCTTATGATCAACCTTGGCCTGAAGCACAGTCTCATCTATCATCCAGACCATTCAAGTTCGGAGGTTTGAAAGATATGGAATAGAATGGAATATAAAGAACAACACACTTGTCTAGATGACTTGAGTGGCCACGTTCACCCTACTGTTGAGGACGTGATTAGAATATGCACTGGAATACCTACACTTCCATAATGTTACCACAATTATATACAAAATAAAACACACAAAGCATTCGCCCCTTTTTATTGGCAATGATTATAGTTGTCATCCTAAAGCAAGGAACAGACTAGAATGGATGAATCCAGGTAGATTTTTTTTTTATCTAAATGGCCGTATGGAAATTAATTTACAGTTTTTCCTATGGAAATAACTTGTTTTCTCACATTTTTTGCCCAAGTGAAGATGGGTGTCTGAAGGCAGACTCCCCTTCAGTATAGAGTGAGAGAAACCTTTCTTCAATCTCCCTTGGGTCGTTTTAATATATATAATCAAAAGTTTTTAACATGCCTCCAATGGAACTTGATTCCCTTCCTCTGGAGTATAAAATGGACTTAGTAATTCAATTCTAATGAATAAGAATATGGCAGAGGTGACTGTCACTTACAAAGCCTAGAATGTAAAAGTACCAGGGGCTTCCTCTTCATTCTCTTTGATTGCTCACTATGGAAGAAGCCAGTGTCATGGCATGAGGATGCACAAGCAGTCCTGTGAAGAGGGCCTCGTGTGAGGAAATATAAGTGAGTCATACAGAAGCAGATACTTCACCCTGATCAGGCCTTCAGATGACAGTCTGACCCACATCTTGATTGCCACCCATGAGAAGCTTTGAGGCAGAGCTGCTGGGCTAAGCTGTTCACAGGTTCCTGGCTCACAAAAGCGGTGAGATAATACATTTGTTGTTTTAAACCACTAAGTTGTCAGTAATTTATTATGCAGCAATAGACAATATTCCCCTCTGGAGAATATTCCATTGGTGATGAGAATCTTATTATATGTGTTATTTATGAATACTTGCATGTTTAATGGTCATAAAAAAATAACTAAACAGCTTTCCCAAGGTACAAGGCTGATAAAAAAAAATAACCATATTGGTTTATACTTAAGCTTCTTGAACTTGGCCAGACATGTTCCTAGATAATTTAAAAGATACATTGAAATGCTCCTCCATATGGGTCATTTGAGTGGACAAAGAGGAAGTGAGGTCCAGCTTTATCAATCCACTTTGTTGTAATAGCAGAGTTAAGAGCATCACAATATAGACAAAGACAATACAGTCTTTGACAATCACCCCATGGAGAGCTGGGACCAATCGTGTTCACTTGATTGTAACCAGTATGTGGCTCAGTAGACAGCCCCAGCCAGTATCAACCACCAGACACATCAGTGAAGATACCTGCTAGTAAGTATTGCCCCCGCCATCAACTTCCTCCTAGTATCAAGTGACCCTCCAGCTTGAGTCTTCCAACTTCAGGCTCCAGATGTCATGGAGCAGAGACAAGGTGTCCCCACAGGAAGGTGTGTAAAATCTTGTCCCACAAAATCTATGAACATGACAAAATTGCTCTTTTATAGCACTAAATGTCATGGTAGTTCATTACATAGCAATAGAAACAGCACAGACATATACAGCTTTTTTTCTTCTTTCAGATTAGTTTAAAAGAATCCAATTCAGAGATAAAAACTAACTAGCCAAGAACTTTAAGTTGTGACATTTAGAAGACTTACGGTTTGGTTAAGAATGGCCATGTGAGAGACCAGTACAGAGTCACCAGGTTTTCTGCTAACTTGTTTTATGTTGTAGATTGCACATCTCTCAAGGAGAGCATTTAAAAACTCAGTAGACATAGAGATAAAGTGAGTAGACATATAGTTTACCTTTGAATCTTCTCCCTGACTTAAAAAAAAATTGTAATTTTGAAAAACTTCACAGAAACAGCAAATACCACCACCACCACTCAGAATTCGTCCAGAGTTAACATTTTTTGCTTCCTATATCTTTAAATAAGGAATGAGCTATCAAATACATTTAGAGCTCTCTACTCTCACCCAATTCCACTTTGCCATCCCTGGAGATAATCACTATCCTGAAGTTAGTATTTCTCCCTTGCCTTTGCCCTTTTATTATTTTTAGAATAAATAGTTCTGGGAGTTACCTTATAATTGTATGTATTGAGAGACAGTTTTAATAATATCATCATGAATAAATAAGTTGTTTTGGTTAAGATGCTATAGTCAAACATTTGCTCTCTTACTTCCTAATGAATTAATTTTTTTTAGGATACGTGCTCTCCATCTAGTGGTAAAAATGGGATAACCATAGGTGCACTTGTGTCTGATGTAGAGGGATGAATCATAGAAAGAGACTTCTGGGGATAGGACCCTCTACTAGTCTATATGAAGGATATGCAGATGAGTAAAAGGTAGAGACTGTGGCCCTCGGGGTGCTACACTCCATGGAATAATTACCATGCAGTCGTATGATGGACACATGTGAAAGCTCAGAGAAGAAAAGACACGTGGCCAGGTCATGCAACTAGTGATTAGCTGAACAGTAAGTCAAATTCTACCTTTCTGACTTGAAATCCCATTCTCTAAAGTGCAGATAGTACTTTAAAATGTCATTTTAATATTACAACAAATACTAATTTCCAGTGAAGTGGAATGCAAACCTTGATAAATGAAAAGGATTAAAGAGAAGAATCTTCAAATAAATTTAGTTTGTTTCTTGGGCTGCTCCACAAATTTAAATCTAGAAATTTCTGCATTTAGAAATCCCTGGGAACATTTAAGAACCCAAAGAAGCTCTGCTTGGGGATAGCATCCTAGCATAGAGCACAGAAGGGTTTGGAGAGTAAAATATGGTGCTCAAAAGACCACCAGCAGCCACAATACCAAATATGTTACTATCCAGTTCAGACCAAACACGGAGCCTAGCAACCAGCTTAGCCATAATGAGTTCTATCTTCTTCTTCATGACAAAAGAAGCTATGTGTCCTAGAAAAAAGAAAGGAAGGACAGGGTTTAATAAACCATGTACTAGATATTTCTTTACCATGGAACATGGCCCAAGCCTGTTCTTTTATGCTCCTGCCTTCATAATTCTCCCAAACCATAAGATTATCCTCCACTTAATTTCTGGACTAGACTAGAATCCATTCATAATTTCTGTTGCATCTCATTGGTCTCCTGGTCCTACTTTGAGGAATAGAGAGAGAAGAAAGTATGACTAGGGCAAAAAGCCCAGAAGATATGGGTCTTACTGGAAAGGGAATTTTCTGGATAGAAGAGCATACGATTAGTTTGGACATGGATTGGAAAAGAAGGCAGTAACAGCATGGTGGAGTGAGGGGGATAGCACAAGAAAGCAAGGTCAGAGAGGAAACGGGGAGGAAGGATCAGTTATGGGGAGCAAGGAAGAGCTGCTATGCCTTCCATGTCTAATAGCAGTTAGGAGCTGTTGGAGGATTTTTAGGCAGTGAAGGAGAGGCCTGTGACAAGATAGATTTGTGTTTTCCAAAGATTACCCTGGTGAGATAATGAATTCTAGGATGGAGAGACATGAAGTAGGGAGGCTGAAGATTTCCCAGTGGAAGGGGATTTAGATGGTGGTAGTTTGAGTGGGAGCAGTTGGTGAAGATGGAAACAAGAGATTTTGAACATTGTTTGTAGGCGAAGGACTCCTTCTGATATTATCTAGCCCAACTCCCTCATGTTACAGATGAGGAAGCTGCGGTTCAGAGAGGTCATTTTGGGTCAACGTCTGTGTATGGCAGAACTACCACTCTGATATGGGCTCTTGACTTCCAGCCTAAAACACTTCCTGTTGGACTACACAACTTTCTATTATTTTTATGTTTATATGTTTTTATCCCTTTTACCAGATTATAAATTTCCTGAAAGCAGAGAAGCTTCCTTACACTTGAATGACTGATTAACTTTTATTTTGCAAGGGCTGTCAGCAAGCCGCTTGGTAGTTGAAATGTGGTGAGGCACAGTCCTTCAGTCCCAAGATCACTCAACTCCAGGCACACAGAGGGATCTCCTTGCCACTTCTTAAATTGAAATGAAGTTGAATTATACATAAGCTTTCCCATTGACATAAAATAAAATCCTGTTGAGATTCAGATTCCAAGAGGAAGTTCAGAATCATGCTTAAGAGAAGAGGAAATAAGGAGAGGAAATCCACATCAATTCTTTATGGAGGAAAAGACAAAGCCTTTATAGGAACTGTCCCAGTGGGCCCTGAGTCAGGAAGCATTTGCAAACACTCTTCCCTGAACCTAACCCAGGGAGGAGTTTCCCATGGGTTTAGCTGAGGGTCTACATACCCGTCAGGACTTGGCAATGGAGATGGTGGTGGAAAGGGTGAATGAATGACAAGTAATTCCAGGAACTCCCTCTCTTTCTATTTCTGTCTCCAGAATGGCAAAATGGGGTTGGCTGAGTCTTCGTTTTAGGAGCTGTTTTTAATCCAGAGGAATATGCAGGACCAAGTCGCAGCTGTAGGGAAGCAAACCAATAGGCTGGCTTCTTACACCAGTCTGGCTTAAGCTTCAGACTAAAATAAAGTAAAATGAGGGAGAGACTCTAAGTTTACATATTTTTTGGATCTAATTTACTAAGCAAGAAAGAAGAAAGAAATTATATCTATAGCCCAATATAAATTATTACCAAGGATTAAGTCATAACCAAGAATAAAGGATGTTCATTTAACACAACCATTTCCTATATATCTCATTCAGGAGCCCAGCTCGACAGAGAACTACTGGAGGGATGTGCAAATTCAGTTCAGGTAAGGGAACCCTTCCCATCTGGTGTGGTTGGCAGGATCCAACACAGCCATCTGGAAAACCTCAAATAAAACAAAGATGCCATTTGGTTTCAGACAGAGTGCCAAACACCTGTGTCTGTTATTAATCATGAAGTTATTGAAAATTAGCTTTGAATAGCTCAAGTGCTAATGATGAATGAATGAAGATCACTCCCTGTATTTTGTACTCATCCTTTCTTGAGGTATGTACAGTGTTGGCTAAGGCCCTGCTTGGACCAGTTCTGTTTTCCGGTCTCTCAGCCTCTCCTTCTGGGTCCTCCTCACTCCCTCTCTGACAGCTGGTACCTTCTTGCTGCAAATAGGGTTTCTGGATCTCCAGAACCAGGTTTGCCCACCGAACAATGTCCAATGTTTTTACTTATTCCTTTACTCTCCCTCAATTCCACAAATCTTCCTACTTCCTTAGAACACTGATTTCCTGAAGCTGTTCAAAGGAAAACAATCTGACTGAATTCATTCGCACTATTCGTTGGATGGCTCTTGTGTTGATTCCTCCAATCTTCAAGTGGATAGATCTTCATTTATTTATTTTTATGTGGTGCTGAGGATCGAACCCAGTGCCTCACACGTGCTAGGCAAGCGCTCTACCACTGAGCCACAACCCCAGCCTCCAAATGGATAGATCTTAATGGTAGAATGTAGTGGGAACAAGGACTACTCTCTAGCACTTTGAACATTATTATGTACTTTTCCCCATCATTTTTATCAGCTTTTAATTAATATAATTGTTTAAAAACTGATTAATTTATTAATAATTCTTTTCAATTGCATGACAAGCTGTGAGAGAATAAGGCCAGGTCTCTTCACCTTTCCTGGTCTAGACCACCAAGACTATCTTAAGAAGGAGACTAGTAAATACTTCTTGTGTGAATGAATGAATGAATGAGTTGAATTTTCCATTCCAAGTGAGTCAGATATTTCTCATATCAGCTCCTAAGCATAAAACCAGAAAATAAAAGAGAAAGAAATAGTCTCAGGAAAATTGAAAGATTTTTTGGGGGGAACTGAAAAATCACCAACTTTAAAAAATATAGCACTAGGTATAAATTTCTTTCAACTAAAAAAGCATAGACTTCCCTGAGGCTGACAGATAGGTTTCAAGGAAGCAAGGCCCAATTACTTAGTACCCTTTGCTTACAGAGCACAGCTCTCCTCAGATAGGAAAAATGAATCAAGACTATTCTTCCCCCCTTCCTTTCCCTCTTCTCTGATGAGAAGAGCAATTTGAACCTCCAGCCGGAGCCCCGTGTTCTCAGCTCTCACACTGCCCTTTTCGTCACCCACCCCTCTCACTTCCATCCGCTTCCCCACATAGACTCATAGACTCCCTCTCTAATCCCTTCTTTCTCTCTGGCTTCCTTGGTGATAAGACACAGGATTAGGATGCTGTGTATAAAATTTGCCAGTTTTGCACAGGGCTCACCCTGTGCTGCGGAGGTGTCGTTGTTCTGTCTGGATTTCTAGGAAAATGAGATAAAATTTATGTAAACGAGTTGGGTTTGTAGTAGGTACTCAAAACACACAATGTTTTTTTCTCCTTGCTTTTAGTTGATTCAAATACTTCTGAATCAGAGTTGTCCATCAATGACAGCTAAAAAGAGAAGCTGTTTGTAATTAATTAAATTGAAAAAAAAAAAGACAGTGAAATGGGATTAGAAATGTACAAATGTAAATATGTGACAAAGGACTAAGAAATTCGAAGTGGCCATGGCCTGTGACTCCCTGGAATGGAAGACTTCTTAAAGGGTGATTTATCTTTAAAACATAGTTCAGGTGTTTTTTTTTCTTTCTTTCTTTCTTTTTTTTTTTTATAGTTCTACTGTTGCTATGGAAATTGCCTCTGTAGGAATGTGTGCAAATGCAGAATGGATTGCTAGTTGCATGAATAGGGAGGTGTGGGCCAGGGGCAGGCATGTTGACACTTGTCAGTCTGCAGCTTTGGTCCTGAAGAGAAAGAAACAGAATGTGGCTGAGGAACATGAGGGAATGCTGTGGGATCGGCACCACCATAGCTATCTCACTGCCTGATAGACCCGGAGTGAGACCTTCTAGAATCTCTAAATCTCCACTCCACTAATTAGGGAGACCATTGTGTCTGTTATCTCAGAATTTTCATTCATACCATCACCTTTCACTGTCAGTGTCATTCTGGTTTAGTTGATAAACCCGAAAGTCACCAGATCACTACAGAATATAATTTCCCCTATAAAATGAGAGCAGCACATTGAAATGATTTGTCACAGCTTTGATGAATTTTTTTTTTAAAGCACAGGACTTAAGTCATTTATAAAGCTACTTTCTGGGTAAGAAGCATCTCTTCCTTTCCCTGCACTTCTTTTACTTCTGTCACAGCTTCAGTTGAACAGCTGTGCTTCCTGCCCACCCAGAAGAAACAAGTAGTCTTATCATCTCTCGAGGAGAAACTAAAGTTGTGTTGAGTCATGCAACTGGGGAATCTGCTAGCCTCATTCTCTCGTCAAGTCAGTAGCTCCTACATGTCAGCCTTCCCAATTATATATTTCCCAGATTTTTGTGCTGCAAAGAAAACAAAGCAAATGACTACCCATAGAGAATCCAAGGCAGGTATATCATCCATAGCTGCTTTCTGGGAGTAATCTCAAAGAAAAAGGGAAGTGCTAAAAGGACACTGGGAACATTAACAGAATCATGGGGGGCAGGCTAGAGAGAGAACAGGGTGCAGAAATTGAGGAAGCACAAAGTGGGATTGGACAGCCAGACCACAGCCAGAGTCAATGCCACAGATGCCCAATTTGAATACTGCTGCCCCTGCTGGTAGGCATTGGATCCCATGGTGGCAGTACAACCATGACTGCCCCAAACTGGTGGCTGTTGCTGACTTTGCTGCCACTGACAGAGGGATAGTCCATGATCCCTTCTTCTTTGCTTAAGTAACCTCTGATTCAATGTCCCAGATTGAATGCATCTTATGGGCCAAGACAATTGTTGGTATCCAGGTTCTAGTAGCAATTTAAGGCCTGAAGAGTGAATATCAGCCCTTTTCATCTTCTATAGAAGAATTGTGTCTCCCACTAATTTCTCCAATGTTTGCAAGAAATTCAAATCCACCCCAGCCTAGAAAATATCTGCTATGTGAGTATTTACCTTGAGCATGTAAAGGACCTCGACTCATAACCTTTAGAAATAAGATCTCTGAAAGTCTATTGAAAGCAAAGTCTAATGTTCCAAAATAAAGCCTTAAAGCAGGGCTCTCTGATGTGATTCTATAACCCGTAAAATCAGAAAAATGAGAAATTATACCCCATCAATGTATGACATATCAAAGTGCATAAATGTATTCTATCATCAAGTATAACTAATTAAAACAAATTTTAAAAAAATTTAAAAAGAAGAGATAATTTTTAACTGTTCATGGGTTTGTATCTAATGTCAAAAAGGAAAGTGAAAGGAAAAGGAAGAAAAAAAACTAACAAAGGAGAAAGGGTTCTTGGGGGCAGGGAAGTCAACCGTCTTGCATGGAGGAAGGGGTATATTTACTATTTTCACCGTTCACAGAAAAGGGATGTAATCCAAGGGGCAGAAATGATTGAGTCAAGGAACCCAGAATTCCACCCAGAGAGAAGGCAGAAATGTAACCTGCAATGAAGGAAAGAGTGCTATGGAAAACTTAGGGCCCCAGGAGAGTGGTGTCCTCCGGAAACCTTGAACACCTGGGTGGCCCACCCAGCAGGCTTGACTCAGAGGCACCCTCCAGGAAGGAGGAGACAAATGGAGCTTTGATGCAAAAGACACAAGAAGGGTCATCTAATTATGGGACAGGCCAGCTGTCAGGATGAGAAATTTGCCAATGTGTCACTTGGCTGCAAGTGATAGAAACCCAACACTAACTAACAAGGGCAAAAAGAGAATTTACTGGCAGGGTAAGGGGGTGCTTCATGTCTTTGCCAACAGGGGGGAGAAGGGGCAAGCTGGGCCTCAAAGATCAAATGTCCCATCTTGTGTCTCATCATTGCTTCTCACCGAAGAGAAGAGGCACCACTGCCTTGACTTGTGGACCAATATCTTTGACCTAGTAGGAGCAGGATGGCTCACAAGGCCAAAGTCCTATGTCGGGTGGCTTCTTCCCTGAGAGAGGAGATCACCCTATTCTTTCAGTCCTAGTTCTGTAGAAATAATCTAAGGAGACCGACCCACTCAGGACAGGTGTCCGAATTTAAGTTTCTGACCATTTTATAAGAATGTAGAACTTTTTATTTATTGATTTATTTATTTTTATGGGGGGTGCTGAGGATCAAACTCAGTGCCTCACATGTACCAGGCAAATGCTCTACCACTGGGCTACAATCCCAGCCCCAAGTTTATGACCATCTTAAAGGACAATTGTTAGTTGTGAGCAATCTGCTTGCATTTTTACCTACCCCTCAGGTGATCAGTTGTGGATAGCAAATTGGGTCTTGCTCGTCCATCTTGGGATTCTTTTTCCCTGGATCTGCCCGTTATTCAAGGAACAAGGCCCTGTCACAAAAACAAGACTGCTGGGGTCCCATCCCTGAAAGTCAGTGCTGTTCTCACAGAAGGGAGAATTCCTGCGAGCTTCAGTTGGTGTCTGTGAACGTCCAGCAGTCTGGATGGGAGGAAAGAGAAGGCCCCTATCTTTAATACCCTTCTTTGTTTTTTCCTGATATGAAGGCAGTGAGCTTGAGAGAAAGCATTCTTGAGAGCCCCTGAGTAACCAGGACAACACCTCATCACCTCTGGGTAATCCTAGGTCCCTTGTGGGTACTGCATAGTGGTGGGGTTGAAAGCAGCCTGTCACCAACTCAGCTCAAGAAAGTTCTGGCAAGAAGCACAGTCTGAGCATGGGCAAGGGCCCATGGTGCTTACCTTACAACAGAGCACTATCCCAGTCTAAGGAGGATCTGGGGCAAGGGAGACAGGCACCAAAGCCCCCAAGAACCAGGGGTCCTGATGGTGATGCTTAGGGATGGTCAGGGGCTCAGTCAGTGTTCAATTTATTATCCCAAGTTCCCTCACCATCCCTGTAAAACCCTGATTGGTTTTACAAGGAACCGGCTTGACATTAGGCAGATAGAGAGCAAGTTTATCTTTCCTGCCCACTGCTGCTCACTCCTAGATAACACATTTCTAAGGCCACAGTCAAATTTACATTTGAAAAGTGGAAAAAAAAAAAAAACAACACAACACAATCATTCTGTATTTATGTTCCAAGCAACTGCCAGGAGGGATTCTTGATGGAACTGACTTAATCACAGTTGTTTTGATATCATTCAGATGGAGCTGTAACTCTGGAAAAAAAGTCAGCACGCGTGTACCTGAGCTGGCATGTTCTCCTGTCAGCTACGGCTCCCGACCTGGCCTGGCCTTGCTGAAACCAAACCCTAAAAAGGACATCTGTGATATTAAAATTGTAGTTCTTGGTGCTGGTAGAACTTTTACGTCCTAACCTGAACTTGGATAATTGGGAAAGACAAGTAGAAACTCCTGAATTACTGCAGTCAAGTTTATCCTTCGCTGTTCAGGGGAGTTGAGATTGGCATCTCCCTCCTAAGTTACAGGTACAACTGAACATTTTACATGAAGTTCTGTTGCAGGACCCAATTAAGTTTGTGTTCCATCCAACTCCTTGCAATGAGTCATGGTCTAACAGCCTTCTTCTATGGGAAAATGAAGTTACACAAGTGGATTTTAACTGTCATTTGCTGTTCGAAAATGCCTTTGGTTCGTCTTTTTTCTACTTTTACTCAAGTTTCTTACTTTTGGACACATTTTTACTTTAAAAAAATTAAAGCTCTATCCTTTTAGGGATATATGTCAACATGTCAACTGCTTTGTCACATTCTTTGCTAATGCCAATGTCATCAGAATTTAAAAAGCTGAAGCAAGGAATTGCATTTTGGAATGAACGCCACGTGAGTAGTCAGGGCAGACAGCCAGAACCTTCTGGTGAAGAGAATGAAAGCAGAACTGTGGTGGAGAGCATTTAAATCCCCTTTACAGTTCTGATCTCCTCCCCCCTTTCCCAGCCTCTGTGGCCGATTGGAACAAAGGTGGTGTCATATTCCCTGGGCACGCTGCCACCACTGTATTTTTTTTTTTTTTTAGAGCAGCTTTATGTGTACAGAGAAATTGTGAGGAAGGTACAGAGATTTCTTTCCCATACACCCCCTGCTCCCACACATGCATCACCTCCCCCATCATCAATATTCCCCACCAAAGTTACAATTGATCAACCTACATCGACACACTCTTCACACTCAGAGTCCAGAGTTTGCATAGGTTTGCTCTTGGTGCTGTCCACTCCGTGGGCTTGAACAAATATACACTAACATGTACATACCCAGTGTCTGAAGAGTAGTTTCACTGCTTTAAAAATCCTCTGAGCCCCATCTAGTCTCCTCCCAGCCCTTAACCCTTGGCAACCACTGATCTTCTGTCTCCATAGTTGTGCCTTTTCCAGATGCCAGTTCGTTGGAAATCACACAGAGTGGCTTTTTTCACTTATAATATGCATTTGTTTCCTCCATGTATTTTCATGGTTTGACGGCTCCTTGCTTGCCACCGCACAGTCAGTATAAGCACCAAGATTTCACTCTTCCTGTCTCCCCTCCCCTCCATGATGCACACATTTTAGGATCATTTCCTTGCCACCAACTTCCCCTGTGCAGGGGAAAGAAAAGCATGTTACACAGCAAAGTCTAAACATCATGCTTCTCCATTGGCTTCCTGGCACCCAGTGTCCTGCTTGGGCTTAGAGACTTCTTGGTTTTTATTTTTTAACTTAAATAAATTTTTATTGGTGCATTATAATTAAACATAATAGGAAATTCGTTATGCTATGTATTCATATGTGCACAAAACCTAGTTTGATCATGCTTATTCCCCAGAATTTTCCCTATCCTTCTTCTCCTCCTTCCTCCTGATCTGCTTGCTGATTTCCCTTCTATATTATTGCTGTTTCAGTTGGTACATTGTTATCAAATATATGTATATATGTATATGCAGAATTCATTGTGGCATATTCATACGTGGACATAATGCATTGGCCACCATGTGGTCTGCATTTTAAATTTTCTTTTCAAGTAGCCATTATCAACAGATTCAGTGTGTAGGGCCATGAAGGTAAGCATACTTTGTGTATCTGCCCTTGGCTGGAATTTCTCTTCCATGCTCACAGTGATGGCTAAAGTTTAGAAACTATTCATATTGGACATTTTTACATCAGAAAAAGTCCAGAAATGTCTCTCGGACCCCACATTTCAGAACAGTTAGCAGCAACATGTGAAAAAGTATCCAAGAAGCTATTTCATTTCCATGGCAGCCAGGGCCCAGACGCTAAAGCTTTATAGATTAAAATCAATGCCTGAATTGCATTCAGAAAGCCTGAATTGCCTGTCAGACTTCAGGACCAGCAGCGCAACGTGATAAATGAGGTGAAGAGCCCCATCCAGGCCAGGGAGTGTGTGCCGCATTAGCGAGTACTTGGGTTTCTTTTTCAAAGCAAATACCAAATGGAATGAATTACTGGGAAACAGCAAATGAATGTCAAGAATTTGAGATGCGAGGGTTATAATTTACTAATTACTGGGAAACGATGAACACAAAGTCAGTGTGTGAAAGAATGTGGTAGGAGAAAGCGTGGATCAGGGAGACAAAGAAAAGGAGCAAGGCAGGAGGCTCTTGATTTCCATCCTGATCAAAGGAGATGGATTTTAGAGACATAGACACCTGGTGAAACTCCCGGCTTGGTCATTACTAGTCTGTGTCATAAACTATAATGAGCATTAAATAAGTAGATCCACACCTAAGCTAGTATACAAGCACACAGGAGGCAGTCAATAAATGTTATGGCCCCCTCTTTCCAGTTCCCATTCAATTCCTTTCTCATTTAATGCTGAGAAGCTTGTACTGACTTTGTTCAGTGAGTCAGTGTGAGAGAACAAGGCTTGCCGCCTCCCACAGCGGGTCATCTACACTTAAAGACAGCCAAGTAAGGACAGAGCATTGAGGGAGGCACAGAGACACCTTCACAAAGGCTGGGCTCATTATAAAATTGTTCAAATATTCTAACTTCTGATGCTGCTTTCTGTCTATCAATGCAAAATAACAACCCATAGTTTCATTCTCTAGTGTTTCTGCCTTTTTGTGTGTGTGTGTGTGTGTGTGTGACACTAATGCATTTTCTGAGCCTAGACTGTCCATCAACCTTGTGCCTCTCACAAGGCTGCAATTCCAGGAGCTGAGGTAGAGACTCCCTGGGGCTTCTCCTCTGCCACCAGGGAAAGGAAGGATGTCATCTGAGAGGAACCTTGGACTGATTGAGCAAGACCTGGAATTTCTAGGGAGTCAAGAAACTCAAACATTTCTCTTGACTCATCCAGTAGCCAGTTGTGCAAAGTTAAAGGATCAGACCAGATCATCATTTCCCAAACGATTTTCACTAGTTCTTCAAGAGGCTGTGATGGAATGGCTTGTTGTTTTCCAGTATCCACTCTCCCTTTGTTGGTACTGGTATCCTTGATGTTTAGCTGTGAAAATGGCTGCTCAGAAGGAAGACCACATCGCCCCAGGCTTCCTGGTAATGATGGAAAGCATAGAGTGTATGTACCTTCTTGGGAGTCTAATTGGAAAGGAGAGTGTGTGCATCTTTCTCCTGGTCCTCCTTCCTCCTGCGAGTGTGATGTATTTGTGATAGTTGAAAATGGAGCAGCTATCTTGGACACGAGTGGCTGCCACATGCCAGGAGGGCAGAACAAGACAAAAGAAAGAACCTGGATCCCTGAGGCTATTAGGAACCATGCCAAGACTAGACTATCAAGACTGCCTTTATAGGCAAAGGGAAAAGGTCCCCATTAGTCTGAATTTTTTATTTCTGAAAATTGAAACTTAATCTTAAATAATAGAGATACTAATAGTCATCCTACTAAATATGGTTCCTTGGCCAAATCCCAGAAGTTCTGCATATCACAGACCCTTCTCAAAGATTCGTAACACATGACAGCCTTTAAGAAAGCACATTTCATTTAACTTCTCTCCTGAGATTAGTATTCCACAGGCCCTTGTAACTCAGAAAGTGGTCCGTCACCCAGGAATTTGTTAGAAATGCAGGGTCTCAGACAACGCTAGACCTGCTGAGTCAGAATTTGTATTTTAAACAAGAGTTCCAGTGATTTGCCTCCACTGGATTTTGGGAAGCACCATGAGAGACCTCAGTGATATCCTGTGGTCTTAGTTTGGCAAAGGCAGTGATGTCCAGGCAATGAATCTGTCTGGAGCCCCTGAAGCCCCGTGGCAGCCTGAGGGATATCCACAGTTTCGAAATGGCTCTGAGCTCCTCAAACCTGAGGCAGCTGCTATCAACTCCATGAGTCTCACTGTTTCATCTCTCAGCTTTGGGTCAAGGTACTTGTTAGGTGTCACATTGACTGAGACAAGTCTGTGGCAGGCTTCCTTGTCCTGTGCTTCTGCAGAAGGTCTCCTGCTAGAGTGTGTCCCCTGCTGCTGCACACCTCTATGTCTTACTACTGCCTTCCTTGGCAAGTTACACATGGATCTATAGGCAAGATGAGAAGGGACCTCCAGGAGACCCAACACGACTTGACTTGCCAGACCCTGCAGGAACAGCTGTGTGGGCAAAACATCTGTCAGTCATTTTCAATCACAGAAACTCATCTGGTCTCCTACCTTACACAGTCAAAGCATCAGTTGAATTAGGTCGTATTGGTTGTAAATAGTAATCGATTGGATCAGTTCCATTTGCTTTTTACTTTATGATTTATCTGGCAGTAGCAAATTGGAGGAGGTACTAGGCAGTAGAGAAGATCTTGTTCTCTGGAATCATATTTCATGGGTTGGGATCCAGACTTACAAGGTCCTAACTGAAAAACTTCAGTCAAGCTTAACTTCTCCAAGCTTCAGTTTCCTCACTATAAAATGCAGATTAATATAGTACTATCTCCCAGGTTTGTTGTGTGGGTCATGTGAAGTACTGAGATTTGTTCTTGGCACATTGGAAGCCTGATATAATAAAAAATTAAAATATATTAATAGATACACACATGTTATAATTTACTACCATTGTATCATAATTTGGATTAAATTCAAAATAATGTGGACAGAAATATAAAAAATGAGGAAAGAAATCTAAATATTGACAGGAGTTTTCAGCTTTGTTTCTCCCATGGGGAATTAGGTAAACTAATGGTCAGTTTTATTAAAGCAAAGCAGACAATTTGAGCATACACACATTTAATAAGCATACACTGAGTGTCAAGTAAGAGGTGAATGCAAGGTACTTGGGGACTACAGTAATGTAACAAATGAAGTTCCTGCTGTGTGATTTAGTAGAGGAGAAAGACAAAGGCACAAATATCTTCATTAAAAGACCAATGGAGAGGGGTTGGGGTTGTGGCTCAGAGGTAGAGTGCTTGCCTAGCACGTGCAACACCCCGAGTTCAATATTCAGCACCACATAAAAATAAAAAAATAAAATAAGGGTATTGTGTTCAACTACAACAAAAAATAAATATTGTTTTTTAAAAAAGACCAATGGAGGAAGTGCCATAATAAAAGCAGAAAAGCCCACAAATAATAACGGGTAAGTGTGCCAGGAATTACATAGGTACTTGAACATTCATTATTCCTTTTGATATTCAAAGCAAGCCTTTGATGGCAGAATAAATCATTCTCATTTTGAAAATCACTAGATGGAGCTTTACAGATATTAAGAAAATTGCTGAGTTCTCATAGATGGTAAGTGAAAGAGTTAGGATTTGAACTCAAGTTTGGCTTTCTCTGTCGCACTTAAGTCGAATGCAAAGAATAACAAACACTTCATGGAGAAGGTGACATTTCAATTTAGCCTTGAAGGAGACTTCGGGTCTTCCGGCAGAATTGGTGATCAGGCAAGGAAGGGGTCATGGGGAGCTGAATAGCAGTGCTGGCCCAAGGCAGTGGTGGACAAGGCTGGCAGAAGTCACCAGAGGCCTGTAGAGGTGAAAGGATTGTGAGACTGACAGATGGGAGAGTGAGGGGGGCCACATGGCGGCAGATCTTGAGGAAGAGGTTGAAGAGGGGATTCAGAGGATGCTGTGTAGCCCCAGGTGAAGGCACCCAAATCTAAAACACAAAATCAGACCCAACAACCTCCCTGTGCTTGCATTGTCAAACAAATCCGGCACAAGCCTGGCCCTCAAGGGCCAGTTTTCAAAATGGAAAGGCAATGGTGTCCACATGAAATATGGGTCCAAAGCTGGAGTCACGGAGGTCTACTCTGAGTCCAGGTGGGGATGAGGTTGAGGGGACAGAATAAAAAAAAAAAATTGGCAGAGGGGCAGAGTCAGATGTATAGTTAGCAAATCAAAAAATGTGACTATAAATTACAAAACAGATTTTAAATCTGGCTCTACCACATCCTTAAAAATTGCTTGCAGCAGGGAAAAGAGACCCATGAACTAGGCATTATCCATAGGTCTGCTTCTGAAGCTTCTAAAATTCAAACAGACAGAATTACTTTCTGCATTTCTTGTGATTTCACTGCATGTAGCCTCACTGCCCACCAGAGCTGCCAGAGCAGGGGGAGGGCCCAGTGCAGTGAGGATGGTTAAATAAAAACACTTCTATTTTGGGCATGCTTTAATGACAACCCCATCTTAGAAATATTTTTCCTGTGATGCCTTTTCTGTTCAGTGTCATTGAAAGTGTTTTTAATTTCAAAGAGAGGT